GCCTTCCTGAGCACCTTGCTAATAGTAACAATAATACCAATAATAATAATTTATTGGAAAAATAAAGATGTCTTAAGGTAAAATTCAATTTTCCTTATATATTGCTCACACTTTCCAGAGAATTCTGTGCTTTGTATTTAGCAGTATGAAAAGCTTATTCTGTAACTCCATTATTACTCCATTGACAGTAAATTAACAACTATAAAATATTAATTCAGAATTTTTAATTTTGCCTCTCTGGATTATTTTTTCTACTTCTGCTACGGAGTCATTGATTATAACTAAGATTTCAGATTCAGCATTTCAGTTTTTTGTTCACTAACCCACACAGAAACACTTTGCAATGTCCAAAAGAAAATATAATATTCCTTAATATACCCTGCGGTAGCCTCGAGGTTTTGGCGTCTGTATTATGTCTTTCAAAATGACACATTTTTAGATCCATTTACTATCTGAAGATTTATATACTGTAGTTAGGGGGTAGATGACTAATTATGCTTAAACATCAGTTTTAAAAATTAGTTAACACTTAAGACCAGAATATTGAGCTGAAAATAGATTTTTAATCTTGTTTATGAGCTATGAGTTGGTATTGGGGTATTTCTGCTGCTAAACATGGATTTTTGCTGGAAAGAAAGAACACACTTGATTCTGGGTTCTGCACAACAGTTTGACATTTCTACTTTGCAGAATGTAAGGGTTTTACTGTGATATACTGTATCTGTTCAACGGCAATGAAAGTTAAACGCACAGAATGTTTTCATAAAACAAACTGATGTCTCGATTATTATAAATTTCCAAATTTTAGAGTGAGTATTCAGCAAAGTCACACAAAATTATGTGTTTTGAAGGTAAACTAAGACGCATACAACATCCATCTTGTACAGTGCAAGAATTTTAGAAAACACTAGGCAATTGTTACAATCACCACATTAGCATACTCAGTTACAGCACGGAAAAGGAAATTCTTTTTGACATGACTTCCCAACCAACATAACTGTATTAAAATAACGGTGCTAATGCTGAGCCATGTGCCAAGTAAATCTAGTGCAATAAAACAAGCACTGAATACAAAACAGAAAGGCCCCCAATTCATGCTGCTGTCATTTTAACACATAAAATTTTCAGTGATGTCAGAAATTTTCCCCCCTTTTCTTAGAGAAAATGAGTCTGCGCATAAAATGCTTACTTTACGGGGGGGGGAGGGGGGGGACTCATTTATAACCGGTGACAAGTAAAATCTATGAAGTTTTTAAAAGAATGTGATTGTTGTCAAAAGGAATTGGGTACAACAATGCCTAGTTCAGTTCTGGTTCCATTCAAAGCTGTAGCTGAGAGGGTTCTGGGAAGATTCCTACAAGGCTGGTGGGCATGGACCAGCTAGAAAGTGAATTTTGCATACTGTACGGATCATCGCCCAGTTCAGGGCAGTCACATTGAATCTGTGATCAACCAATTGTGCTTCATGAAACCGTCAGCCCTCATTTGTGTCTAGCTGTTTTCTTCCATCCTGTTGTAAACAAGCTCTGCTTTAAGCTGTCTCCCTACCCTTAACCGCGTACGAAGATCACACAGACAGACCGGATCAGTGGTGTCAGAATTAAACTTAAAATTACCACTTCCAGACAGCAGTCCCTGCACAAGCTGGAAGTCAAAGAGAGGAGCAACTTGGGAGTGACAGAGCTTTACTTCATTTCTGGAATGCATACATTAGATTCATACACATACTGGCATATTGTGTCTCTTTCATTAGATTAAATTAGGTGTTCTTAATATGAACAAATGTTTTTTTTTTCAAATCAGTAAGCTAGCACTGAGCCCTCAATTCAGTTAATGCACAGACATCTTTTTTCGCCATCTCCTATGTAGTCTAAGTTACAGAAAGGTAAGATCTGCTACTACAATAAACAGAGTGCCAACATAATATGTTCTGTCTGAGCAGTGATTGGATAAGACCTTGTTTCAACAGCAGAGAGAAACAACTCTGATTGCAAACAATCAACATTTACATGAAGTACACTACATGATATGCTTAATTGACAGAGGAGGTGTGTTAAAATGATAAAATTATTTTACAAATCTCAATTTTAACTTGATCTTGCAGCAGCACAATTTAATGATCCTATGAACATTATACTGAAAATGCATTTCATTTTTTTGATAAACAGATGTAATGCTTAATCTAAACTCTACAGTGCAAATAGCACTGGTATTTGGGGACATTTTTGTACCTTATTCTTGATAACATTTTTAAAAATACGGATATTTTTAAACTTGGCTGTTATACAAAATGGTGAAGTACCTTGCAAATGACAGAACCACTGAAGCTGAGTGATTGTGTTTAATCAGGAGCAAATGAAGACAATTACAGGAACACCAGAGACATAAGGGGTAGAATCTAATTCTTATAATAGACTATTCCAATTCGCTTTCCTCTCCATTTTGCAACCAGTAACAAAACTGACATATTCAGGAGACTCAACCTAAATTACAATTTCATGAAAAACAAGGTTTTATTTCATTTGAAAACTATTATTGCTACTCTGATATTTTTCCTGCAATAAAGAATGAAATCACTACAATACCTTAACTAAAATGAAAAGTCTTAATGAAAGTACACAGCACATTTACAATACAGTCTGAATTTAAGTTGAAAGCTTTAAATCTAATAAGCAATACTGCTTAATGCAGTGGCATCTACAACAAAGCACAGCAACATTTCTCAATTTACACTAATGCCAGAAGCCACTAGTATCAGCATTAGTTAGAAAACATCTTGACAAAACCTTGAAAAGGGTTCACTTCAATTTCTTTGCAACTTTTTTGTTGCTGATGATAACTCTGGTACAGTCACAGCATGAAAAAATCTTCCCACATTGGTCTCTTTGCAAACAAAGGTTTTACAGGTATAAACTGGAAAACACTGAGCTTTAACCTTTTGAAAACGTCTGTTATTTTTTTTGACACATAATTTCTATTTTCTAGATAATGCATAGAAACAAAAAAGCAAAACAAAAACATCAGGATGCATAGTTAGAAGTGTATTCCTTTAAATCAAGGAATATTAGGTTAAAATTGCATAATGAAATAGTAAGATCTCATTTGCAATATTGTGTACAGTTTTGGTCACAATGTTATAAAACAATCTTTCTGCTCTGGAATCAGTCCAACAAGAAAAACTAGACATATTCCTGATCTTAAAAGTATGTCCTACACTGGCAGAGTGAAAGTAATAAACCATTTCATTTCTAAACAGAACAGCCCGTTCACAAATCTCAAAGGTTTAACATTTGACATTGACAAAGTCAATCCAGTTGACTTCTTTAGAATCATAGCTAGAAGACACAAGAGGTAACTATGTGGAAGAGCATCTAAAAATGAAAATGGCATTCTAACTCAAGACATGCCGTCTCTTTTACCTTTTCAGGTTTCTAAGGAGAAACTTCATTGAACTCAAAAAGACCCCTGTTCTTCCAACGTCATAGAAACGAAGCAGAAAGGCACAGGTCAATATGCAGATTAGCAAGCCATAGAGATGTTTCCTCCACAAAAGGATCACTGAAATATGGTTTCAGCACAGAAAATGTACACTTGAGCACATGGAAATCCCTGGATTCACAAAGGCGCAGGATGAAGAACAAGTTCGGTCGGTGTCAAGCACAATTTGGGTTTCCGAATTTAGTCTTCAAGTGTGTCCATCTGCTAAAGTGCATTCTGGAGCGTGAGACCTCTGAATGAGATATTACGCCCGATGTGACCAGGATAGGGTGTCGGTGTACAATTGGCAGGGCTTTCCCGTGACAGGTCAGGATCAAACAGTCAAGGCTCCCTCGGCATTGTGGGAAAAAATGAGCCTCCTGGAACCTGCAGGACACTTGCAGGGATGCAGCAACACCAACTAGACAAAGGTGCTTCTCCATTTGGCAGCGATTCTCATCAGGTGTCGTGAAGCTTGCCACGAGTCAGCAATTAATGACTCTTCAGGTGAGCATGTTACAGGAGGGTACCCCTATACCTCAGCAGTGTAGGGGTTGCTGTCCAAGAGAAGAGACTTAGAACAACTGACACTTACAAGTTGGTTGTGTGTATGATAATAAAACAAACATTTAGTTTTCTGTAGCATTTCAGAAAAGTTTCACAAAGAAAATGGAGGATAATGCTCTCAAGTGAGATTTAATTTCATGCGACTGTTTTTGACACACACCTGGTTCTCGCAGACTGTTTTTCTAGACATTCCCGTAAAAGATTACTTCCCTCGAAAGTAAACACGCACAGGATAGTCTTCCACTCACTCTATGCTGCCAGAGTAACACTCCCTTTACAACTGTAAATTTAGCTTTTCCATTGTCAGTTCGTGTCACAAATACACTGGTTCTATTCCAGTTAATCAACAACAGCAGCCAATTCAAAATGTTCAAAATGTACTGTGTCTTTCAGTCCTCTTTCACAGGGTGATATAAACCAGACTGAAGTAAAACTGAGACAGCAAGCGGCCCTTTTGATATATCATTTGTCATGTAACCCGACATGATTGGAACCACAAGGCTGTTGCCCATGAAATGTAAGAGCTCAACCACAATTAATGCTACACAGAGGAGGGTCCCAGAGATATTCTGAAAAAACAAAAAACAATTAGATGCTTGATTTTCTGTACCCTGCCTCAGACAGAGAAAATCTCACAATTCCAGTGTCCTACCCCACGGCTATGAAAAACATACAAATATGTACTTTTGTGTTTATAAAATGAATAAAAAGTGGAAACAGCACAAAGCCACAACAAGGTCCTTCACAAGATCATGGGAACTCCTTCAGATTCTGAAGAGACTTTTGTTTCACTCCTTGAGAACTTCGCCAGCTTTGGTATTGTCTGCCATACTCGTTAATCATCCAATGAGATCTCAGCACCAAACTGAAAAGAAGTTAAATGTCAATGGTCAAACACAGCACCTCAACCAAATTCTATGAGGCAAAACATGCATTTTCCGAGACCCCCTACTTACATTGAAGTCAGACTTATCCATTTCATCATATTACAGTGCTTCTGATGTGAAATATTCCTTTAATGTTCCAGATTGAACCTGAGAAAGAAAGTAAATGTTTTGTACATTAATAGACAAAGTTTCATTGTACTGTGTTTATAACATTAAAAACTCACCACTATAGGAAAACTGCATAACCTCCTTCAAACTCTTTAAACTTGTTTTTTTTTTTCCAGAATGAGATACAAACTGTGAAAAGTAACTACTATTGCCTAAGGATAAAGAATAATGAATGACTACATTACTCCAATGTTATCACAGCAACTAAACACACATTTTTAGACCAACTTTGCAGTCATATATAGATGATGTATAGATGGATCTCAAAACAGTTATCCCAATGGGAATGGCCAAAACCATATCATTATTATTAATAGAAACTGCAAGAGGTGCAATGTTTAACATTAAAGGAAAAGCACAATATGATATGAGATAAACACTGCTTATCACTGATTATAAAACCCACATCACCAACACCACATCTAATTTTATAACTTCTGACACTCAGGGTTGCTGAGGATATGTGAAATGAAGAAACATTCAAGTAAGGAAAGAACTCCTCAGTGTAGATTAGATGTGTAAGGTGAAAGACAAAAGACTTCAATAAAAACAATATTCCTGAAATATGAATGGCACATTCTGTGAGAACGTATTAAATCTTCTGTTAGTAAAAGTTCTACTATAACATTTTATGCAGGTTACTCCACAAAGCTTCTCAAAAGGCGTTAACTCAAAAGTGTTTTCAGTAACTCTCTACCTTGATTTTACAGCCAGACATATGTTGTGCATGTGCTTACAAGGTTTGAGGAACACCACAATTAAAAGAAAGAAAAAATCTAAAAAGATTTTTTAAAAAAGGATGTAAAGAAAAATGCCTTTAAAGCATGAACTTCAAGGGCTCAGTATAAAATGACAAAGTCAATACAGATATCTCTGTCTTTAACATAGCTTATTTACTATATTGACACACTGATAACTTACCATTGGTTTGCTTATTAAACTATAATATAGTCAAAATATGATTGATGACTTTAATACACAGCTCAATGATGATTCTAAAATCTGAGTTCAAAGTACAGTTAGTCCTAATGTTATGGGCCTGGATAAGGAAGCAGTGTTTCATCTTTGTGGTTTGGCTTTTTTGTGCTTAATGTATCACTCTCTCATATACTGCTAAAACACAAAACAAACTTGTGTCTGAGCTTTTACACTGTACCTGTATTCTAGTAGACTGCATTTGCAAATCTCTGCTGAGATGACAAAACAAACCTTTAGGCTAAAACTTAAAAGATTGCCACATACCATGTGAATTATAGTTCTAGAGTACCACTCCATATGCCAAACAAAGCACCTGAGCAAGTATTCACAAAACATCTGAACTCTTATATTTACTCAGACTGTTTGAAGAAAAGGAAAGAAGATTACATAACAATGCTTATTTTTCTGTAGCTCAAGGATGTATACTGTCAAGTACTAGAGTGTGGTTCTTTAAATGTAAGTCCAGAGATGAATGTATGCAGGAGACAATCCCTGGCTGTAATGACAATAATCATGGTTATAATGCACAGCAGCACAATAACTTAAATAAAGCAAACATGATTAAACAGCTGAGCGGTGGCTCTGTGGCTCAGGATCTGCGCCTGTGGCTGGAAGGTTGCTGGTTCAAATCCCACAGCTGGCAGAGGAATCCTACTCCGTTGGGCCCCTGAGCAAGGCCCTTCATCCCAACTGCTCCAGGGGCACCGTATAAATGGCTGACCCTGCGCTCTGACCCCAAGCTTCTCTCCCTGTCTATGTGTCTCATGAAAAGCAAGCTGGGGTATGCGAAAAGACAAATTCCTAATACAAGAAATTGTTTATGGCCAATAAAGTGATCTTATCTGAGGAGATTAAATACCACCCCAGAACATGAGCACACAGCACCCTGCATGCTTATTATCAAGAATAATTTTCAAACTGTAAAGAGCACTGCATGTTTCGACAGATAGAATGTTTACCATTTTCTGTTTTTTGTATACTGTGTATCTACTTTTTAATCATCTCAATGGCAGATTCTCACATGCAAAATGAATTTAAAACCCATTCCAGTTTATTCAGATACAGGGCTGCTGCATGTTGCATACCTCAAACATCTTGGGGCTTTCCTAATATGAAAAACCTACCATTCTGGTACCATGTAATCCACTTTAACAAATGAAAGAGAACATTTTAAGTAGGATGGCTAATTTAATAGATCCAATGAAGAACTGATTAAATATTCCCTAAGATAAAGCAATTCAATATCTTTAGTACTTATTCACTTTACGACATCACCAAACAGTGTTACGCAGTCTGCCATGAACAGAATTAAGGGGAAAAGCCAAGAAACTCTAGGTAAGTAACTGTAGGATTCTGAAGTCACAATCCTAAAAACATCTTTAAGATTGCATTCATAAAACAACAAAATGTGATATTTAATGATGGAAGCCATTACAATGAAAAATCAGTAACCAGTCCTCAACATGAGGACAAAGAGTCTCAGTAGAGACAATATCGCAAGGTGGTTAAAGAGCCTGATGTCAGGACAAAGTTTCCTGTTGGAGGAAAATTAGAGATTTTTTTTTTAAGAACAAACTCAAATCCAAAAAGAAGCATATTTCTGGACAAAGTGCTACTGGGGTAATTTTTCCTCCCTGTGCACTTTACTGAATAAGCTCAGGTTTTTTAACGTAATGTTTTGCATTCAGTGATTTGTTTTCCTAGTTACTGCTCTAGCTGTGTATATGAATGTTTTATAGGGTTTATAAAATGGTTGTGTGAGAGGCCCAGACAATTGCTTTTTAAAGCTGTTAGCCTCTACCTGCCAACTGTTGTTCCTTCCATAATTTAATTCCAAACAGTTCTCAAACCGCACAAAAAAGACCGACACGCTGCTGCTGCTGAAATCAATATGAACAAAACCTGCGCGCATATGTTTAACAGGCCCTGTATTTCTTTGTTTTTAATGTGTTCTGCAGGCACAAAATAGTTAGAAACAGTTACTAACTTCATCTTCAGGATACTGTGCTTGGGAGAAAATCCGTCAAAGCGCATTTTGTGAAGGAACTGTGTTGACAACTATTACTGTACATCCCTCCTGTCCCAACAGCTTCCATTTATTCAAACAGACTGTGAAGTAAACTTCAGAACATGAAGAAATGCACACTACATTTTAAAAAAATAATATTCAGAGTCATCACCAAAATGTCAAAGCTCCCAATATGCACTGGGTGTTCAATATAATTAATATAAGCAAAAGCAAAACACATAATTAGTCTGAGCCTGCCACCCTAGATGCAGGAATGTTATCTTGTCAACTGCTCTGTACCTGTAGAAGACAGTCAAGCACTAATCCAAGATGTGAAAGAGCTCTGTTTTTCTCAGCAGAAGAACTTCCTCTTATTGCATTGTGTAACCACAAATACCTGGTTGGCATTCGATGTTTTCTAGCACCAGGAATCAAGTATCTAATTCCATGCCTAACAGGCACTGAACAGGTTCGACCACAGTGTTCCGTTTTTGCTGTAGCAAAAGGGGTCTTTAAATGCGTATCCAAGAAAGCCCTTTCTGTTAAGTGCCACTAGCAGTGCTGGTAAACCTAAAACAAACACAGCGATAAGTTGACATGTTATGAAAGCTCACCTTACAGCCTGCTGGAAGACCACAGACATGAGGCGAATGAATAAATAGAAAAGCAGACGGACGACGATCACTTATTTAAGCGCTTCCTAAATTGAGTTTCGGATATAACTCTACATCTTGGACAAAAGTAAAGAAAGTCTTCGGGGATAAAAGTCTTTGCCTCAACTATTAAATTAATCATAACGCTTACAGTGCGCATGGAGTGCAATCCTTATAAACGGGATTGTGTAAAGCAAGCAAAGCGAAAGATACGTTTTTCTCTAGAAAAGCATGAAACAGGAGATGCGTTTGTGATATTTTTTTTCGAATTGGTATCTGTTTCTTCGTAATTTACTTGCACACACTACATTACCTGAAACTCTTTGTAACGCGCAAGGCGAAATTGGATCCCCTGTACCAAACTGGCCAGGTAACAGTGACGCTATTTCCGGTCAGTGGGCTGTACCTCCACATAGGTGAGCAGAAGCGCAAGTGCCCCTTCCGTTCGCGTGCCTTACAAGGCGCGCTGAAAATGCCAGCTGTGTATGCATGTAAATATTAAACATTATTAAATTTAAAAAACAGACTTTTGAACCTTCCTAATCACATTGTATTTTCCAAAATTTACTTGAATAAAGGCTTGGTGACACGTATATTTCTTTTAAGAGCACTGCTTTGCGTGAGGAGACTTTTCCAAGTCCTATATGCCTACTGCCTTAAAGAAAATAATCTAACTTGTATGTTTTTTTCGTGCTGTCTACATTTAAGTACATAACGGCAGTGGTGCTTGCATAAACTTAACGTTGAATATGTTCCAGTATTCTGCCTTAAATAGAACTCTTCCAATAGAGATGGCTCATATTGCTCTCCCGAAAAGAAAGTAACAGTGAAATTAGAGACAGCCTTATTTTTTCAATTTTTCAAAAGGCTTTATCCTGAAATTGCCTGAAAGGATTATTTTTATAATAAAATCAAATGTTTCAGAACACATTAGTGTAATGCATGATAATTTATTTCAATTAAGTGACTTCAATTAATTGGCCAATTCACGACTCAGACGTTTCATTTTCCTATCAGCTGTGCAGCAAAGGATAGTACAAAATGTATGTAAAATGTTGTACAGTTTTATAAAGCTATATTCAAAAGTGTTGTATAGTGTTGTGTGTAAGAATAATAAGTATATTGAGCATGTTGTAGTTGTGATAGCAACAGAGTTTAAAAATGCAATAAAGTACATTTACTTTAAAAACATTTGAGAACTTATAAAAACATAAATCCATTTTTGTTTTTGTGTTACTTCAGGGTGTGGAACCTTCAAGGCATTATCTGTCTGTTAAATGCAGAAAACGTACCACATTTGTGCATCATCTGGTTGTAGGTTATGCTGATGAGTTTAAAGATAAGATTACAGGTCTGGTGCCATTTTCAATATATCTACCAGATGGCATCATTGCTTGTATTTTTAAAGTATTCTTTTATTATTTATGCAGATCCCAACGAGGTGAGACAGCTTTTCAAAGTGATTTTCACTACTGTATTTACAGAAAGTGACTTCATGGAAAATGGGGCTTTGTTTCTTACAACATCAATTAGAATAATAAAGCCACTATGGTAAGTCATCATACAGTTTTGTAAACATTCATTATGCAGTTTGACAATTTTTATAAAGGTTTCTCATACATTATTTAAGAGGATTTCTTTAAAGATACTTCACACAAAACAGACCTGAGGAACTCTACAGCTGTTGTGAAGAATAGGTGCAGAATACAGTCAGTATTTTAATCACAAAGGATACAAGGAATGCTTTATGCTTAGCTAGGAGCAAACGTGACTACCCAAACATGTTTATTGATTATGAAGAAAGTAGGCTACTTATGGCCTTTTCAACTGCTGAAAGAGGTTGCTTACTGCGAACTCTGTAGATTTATTTTCCGGTGACAGCTTTTATATCAAGAAACCCAAACTATGGTGACAGACATTTGAGAGGAAGAACAAAATATTTTGATATTGCTGTCTTTTACCACTCTTATTCAGAGCTCTTTTGATCACCTTCAACATAAAGGGAAAAGGCCATCCAGCAAAACGAGTGTCCCTTGAATCCCGAAGCGCCATGAACAATTATTTGCAGCTTCTGGATTGATGTGTATGCAAAGACACTACAATCAAGTCATTAAATAAACTGTCGTATTCAATAGGCGATACTCAAAGCGAAACACGGGACGTTATAGTCAATGATGCGATAGTGCAGTTGAAGAAGAAATGCTGTTTTGTCGCAAATCAACAAGTAAAACCAAAGAATCTCGGCTGCTGAAACGTTGTATTTTTTTATTTCTTCTTTTCAGAGGGGAATTAACGTTTACTTTCCTCTGTAGGCAACACACACTGACACAGCTCCCCAATGGAACACAGGAAAAGCTAGTACCCAGTATGAAACCCTTCATGCTCCCCACTTGTGACACACTTAGTAGGTTCCAATACTCACTTTCTCGGTTCCATACATTTTCAGTTTCGACTGCTTGCCTTATTCGCTTATTTGGATGATTGCCTTTTTTAAAATCAGGTCACAAAACACTATTAAAAAAAATAATTCATCAGTTCTATTAGAATACCTTTACCAGGTGCTCTTAACAGTCTGGATAAGGTTCATTAGTCTCTTTCCAAGGTCTTGCCTCCAGTTTTTAAATGATTAAATATACATTTCCAGTGCTGGCCCTAGCTGGGGCAATTAATTTTCAACGTAGACCTGATAGTAGTTAATGGTGTTATTCTACCTAATTAACCTGGAAAGGAAGCACCAGAGTTGTAACATCCTTCATCTGAATGTTTGTCACACCGTGGAATATGGGTAATATTAATTTATATTAATAGTATTAATTACCATGAAGAATTCTCTAATAACAAAGGAAAACACAACAAAAGAGCAAAACAGCAACTTTAATGGGGTTTTCAGCAAAAGAAAAATAATACATTTTATCACATTGGTCCATATTAGTAAAAATATTAGTTAACTTTTTACTGCTGTGCCAAATGACAATTGTTTTACTTTATGGGAAACAAAGAAATTTACATATCTTTCATGATACTATTTTAAGAGATGCTAAAATGTATATATTTTACACTTATGCTTTGGGAAATGTTAGGAGATTGCTTTTTCTGGTTAAAAAAACATGTGGTAAAATTAACGCAGCTTAAAAGTTTTATGAATGTGCCCTGCTGTGTGGTGGAGAGGTCCTACTGAGAATAACTTACACCTTTTTTAATTGCCTTAGGCGTTTGTCCAGGTACTACCACATTTCAATTATAATAAAAGTTCATCTTCCTCATGTGAATACTTGTGAAGAACTAAACAGCTTACAAAAAGAAGGTAAATGTATGAATATGAGATAAGAAACTGCTCTGAAGCATCATGTGGCTTTTTGCTCTCTCAGTATGTGATTCATAACATTTTGTCTCTTTATCTGAAAGATGATTGCCTCATCTTTAACAAACAGAAATGAATGTGAAAAAAGCCACAAAGTTGGGAATCACCGGTGCCTGTGAGGTAAAGGAAGATTTGGTATCCGAAAAGACTAATTATTGAAGATTTTAGGACTTTGAGTTTCTGGTTTTCTCTGGAAAAGCTCAACACAGTGTATTACAGAGCTACATTTGTGTCAGCTTTCCCATTTAGTGAAGCAGCTTCAACTTATTAACACTGCAGAGTGCGAGGGAATCAATATGCTTCATTGGGCAATGTGTCATTTGTTAATCGGGTATTGATGAGAATATTGACATGCAGCTAATTAATCTCAAACTCAGCTCCAGCTTTCATATGTTTCCTTAATTATGTTCTTCATCTTAGTCCTCTGACATTGGCACACAGTCGCCTTATCGTAGACAGTGAATGAGGTTAGCTGTCAGAGTTATTTTTTTCAGCGTTCTAATGCTTTGGCAGTGAATTGGTTTTAGTCGTAAAGAGGAATGAAAGCAAATTTTTTTTATTTGCACTCACATTTAATGTATCGATGTGGATCAGAGCTGCCAGAAACTTCTGAGGAAACATAAAAGTAAAGTCTCTAAATCTGGTACTCACATATCACATTTTTTACACATTTGATAAAGTATTACTTGCTGTCAGGATGAATTTGAATCACCCTGTTCATAACGCCCAGTTTGGATTTCCTGTTTGTTTTTTCCCCAGTAATATACAGTACACATCTGCAGAATGCAGGGTTTAGGAAATGGTGCATCTCTTCACAATTCCTTATTAATTAGGAAGAAATCAAGGAAAGACGTCTATGTTTTATTTTTCTCTTTTATTCTTTCCACAAAATCAATAAGAACAAAATCAAGAAAAATCTATTTTAAAATATAAATTGGTGGGATTATAATGAAGCTCTGCAATATATTAAACAATTTGCACCTATTTTATGGGACACACCCCAGACCTGGTGAATCTATTCCGCTAGCTCGGTCATCAGGTCTGACCAAAGAGGGGAATTACATATCACCTCAATAGTGACCGGGGCATTAAGAAAGTTGAAAAGTCAATGTCCTGTCACTAAAAATATGTATGCTCCCCCAGGTGTTCAGGAGTATCCCCAGATTATTTTAAAATCACGTTGTCAACCTTTTCCAATATACCAGCTTGCTAAGTGATGTTCAAAATGTAACAGATACAGTAAGTTATTTGCAGATGGAGTCCTGAAGCTGGGAAACACTAGTTCAAGAACACCCTTCATCTGTGTATTACCAGATCAGGATTGTCAGATCTGAGCAAGGAGTTAAGTCAGATTGACATTTTCAACACTTTTGGCAGACAGGCCAGTTTCAGAAGTACAACAGATACTGTAGCAATGCCATTTTACAGGACGACATCTTCAGGGTTAGGGTCTGAGGTCCTTCGTGCTACCGTGAGACCTTTTGCTTGTGTAACAGGCCAAAGTTATTTTGGCTGAAGGTTAGCGGTGTTATAAAATGGGTTGTCCAGTGGGTTCTCCTGACTTGAAACCTGTTGAGCACGTGTGTTCTTAAGGTTGAAAGTCATCCAGTGGGACTGGTTCTGACTAAAGAGTGAAACGCAAAGCAGAAGACACAAGTGGAACTAAGAACAGGAACAGTAAACACTTCTTTCTGCAAAGCATTGTACCACATAAGAACAGAAGAAACTACCCAGCCGTGTTGTTGAAGCTGATAGCCTGGCTTCTTTCAAGAAATGGGTGAATGAGATCCTTGGATCAATTAATTACCAAATTAAAAACAAAAAGGGCTGGATAGACCAACAGATCTGGTCTTATTCGCCTACTAATTTTCCAAACTATTTTGCTGGGAGGGTACTTAACTTTCTCTTGCTTCTTGTATCATTTGTAGGTCTGCGGGTCCATTGCAGTTGTCCAAACATTTAATTTAATTAACTTAATGTGAAAATCAATCTTTAAAATAAAGAGTATGGAATATAATACTAGTTTATCCTATA